ATAGGAGGCCTTGGGTTTCAGGGTTGTCATTGCCCACACCTTTGATAGCACTAATGTTACTTAAAAACAATCATATGTATTGTGTTCCCCTTAAATATTTGTATAATAATCATTTCCCCAGCCTTCCTCTCCTCCCCTGCCATTCCTTGGATTTAGTTCTGAGGGACACCTGTATTTTGGTTTTTGTTTTTTTTCCTGGTAAAACCCCAGAACCCTGACAGTGCAGCGGGCAGTTGAGCTATCCCAGAGACAAGTCCCTGGTGTGTTCTCCTGCTCTCATGTCAAATAATGAGAGAGAGAGAAAACAGCTAGAGACCAACTATGATAGGTCACTGTGTATGTGCTTCTGAAACGCTAAATTTGTATTTATCAGATTGCTTTTCATCTGTGAAATGGTAGGGTATAAACTCACTGAACACATTACACTGGCTTAGGAAGTGCCCAGTCTCTTATCTCTGAAGGTATTTATATGACTGTTATGCCGGTAGCATCCAAATATCTGAGAGTCATTAATGTATTTGTCTTTGGCAGCCCACTTGGGGCAGGAGGGGAGAGGAGAGTTCTGTTTTGCCCATTTGACAGATAAGGAAGTGAGGCCGAGTGCAGAAAGTGGTTTCTCTGTGGTCACACAGGAATTTGGTAGATGAGTCAAGAATTGAACCTAGGTCATTTCAAATTCTAAGCCAATGTCCTATCTGTTAGGCCAGCCTTCCTACAAGCTACTATACAGTCTTAGCTACACCACTGTAACATCTTTCACTACTGTGTAACATTTTATGCCTCCAAACATAGTGTATGAGCAATTTCTATGAAAAATTCTCAGTAAACCATTCTTATGTATGATACTGCAGATTAACAATGAGTAGTAGTGTATATTTGCTTGCATTTTAGGGTACCTATATTTTGCTAAATTAATTTAATAGTTAAATGCTTCATCTCCTGAATTCCACTTAAGAAAGGGTACATTGCTCATTAAAATGGAAATGTAAAGAACACAGCTAGCCCCATATGGCAGGTTTTACAAAAATGTATAATCAAGCATAATACTAACTACACTGAGTAAATCCATTAGAGTCAAAGCTAGTGAGGTAAGTGGGTACTACAAGTGGTTAGTTGTCTACAGAACTGGAACTCAAATACATACTTCAGAGAAAAGAGAACATACCTTCATGAGATTTCAAGAGCCAATTTCAGCAACCCTTAGATGTGTGGCATCTTCTTCCATACTGCATTGCTTTCAGTGGGATTAATGCGCATCATGAACACTGGTGGAAAAATTTGGCCTATAACAATTAGAGATATATTGGACTTTTATGACCAAGAAGATAAACTGTTACTGGCTCTGTCAGTGACCTACTATGTGGCCTCAGGCAAGTTACTTCAGCTCTTTGTCTCACTTTTCCCATCTCCAAAAAAGCGATAAGAAGACTGGCCCTCCTTTATAAAGTGGTTTGCAGCCTAAAAGCATAAGGTAGTAGTATTGGCTCCTTTACACATGGTTTTAGTACCAATATAATTAAAGCAGTGTGGAGGCAGTAATACTGGTGTGGAGGCAGTAATACTGATTTAAAGATGTTTATATTGGTACACAGTATGAACTCCTTACACACTGGCATAGCTGCATCCAGATGAGGTTTTACTGCTTTGACGATATCAGTTTCTGAATACGTATAAATGTGGTGGTACAAAACCTGCATGTAAAGGAACCCTAAGAGCACCATGTACTGGGTCATGAACCCTACATCTTGCATCACCCCTGCAGTTGCTTGGAGGTCCTGGATTTAGGTAGTGAACTGGTCCAGCCCTACTCAGTTTGTGATCTTAAAGGTGATGGCCACCTTGCTGCAATGACTGCAAATGGTATCCTGTTGTAACATCAACTATGCCTCCATTTCTGTAGGGAACTGCATGAGTGAGTTCATGGGGCTGATCAAAGGGCACTATGAAGCGAAGGAAGAAGGGTTCCAGCCAGGAGGGGGCAGCCTGCACAGCATGATGATTCCCCATGGTCCAGATGCTGAGTGTTTTGAGAAGGCAAGCAAAGCCAAGCTAGAGCCTGAGAGAGTTGCAGAAGGCACCATGGTAAGAGCTCCACAGAGCAGATAAAATGATTGCCCAGCCAAGTAAAAGATCTAGCAGCAGCACAACCCGCTAGCAGCTCAGACCCTTGCTTTCCTGGTTGAAAGTGTGCCTACGGAGAGAGATGAAGTGCTGACCACCTAAAATTGGGGTTAGATTTTCATAGGTCCCCCCCCTCTCCCCATTGTGATACAACACACTGAGCTCTTCTGACAGTCTGGCCACGTAGTTTGACATTTGAAAGGGACGCTGAGATTTTTTGGAAATTCAGGCCTGGCAGAAGCACCCCCCCCCCCCATTCCTCAGACCAACCAAGGAACAACAATGATTTGTTCTAGAAAAAGATCCCCCATCAGGCCTTGTCCCAGGATTTCTTGGATGGTCTTGATTCTCCAAGATGTTCCCAGCTTCTAAAATCCCTGTGGGACCTGCCAAACACCAGCATTGCAAAGGTACATCTTAATGGGGATTAGGGACAGTGTAGTGGTCTGAGCTAGATGCTTTCTCCCCTTAACTGAGGAGACAGGAGTCATGCTGGGCTGGCCTCAGCTGTGAAACTTCCCCAGGTGAGGAGCCAGTTCTGCACATTTGATGTATTGTTTGTCTATGACTAATAAAGTATATATTCAGACTCCCTCCTCTTCTTCATGCCCTAATGTACTTTCTGTGGTTCCCAACAGGCCTTCATGTTCGAGTCCTCCTTTAGCATGGCTGTTACCAAGTGGGGCCTGAAGACCTCCAACTGTCTAGATAAGACCTATTACAAGTGCTGGGAACCACTGAAAAGCCATTTTACTCTCAGCTGCAAGTAAACAGAAGTGAGCTGCTTGTGCACTCTCAGGCCAGTCACAGTGATGGAAAACAATCAGTGATACTTATCTGGCTGGCAAAGGAACACACATCTGTCAATACAAGGAGCACCACTGCACTGCAGTCATTTCAACAGCCACCAATTAAATGAATTACTCTTGCAAACCTATGTGTCTAGCCTTGAAGCATAGTACAGTTCAAAGCTTTCAAGCATCCAATTCAAGGATAAGAGCTGCAGTGCTCAAGCCATGAGGCTCCCGCACCGGGAGGGATGGTACGAAATCTCTGCCCTGTACTGAAGCGAGATAGTGGTAGACTTCCTCTCTCAGGACACTCAGGCTACATCTACACTTGCGGCTTCTTGTGTCAGAAGTATGCAAATGAGGCTAAGCATGAAATATCGCAGAGTCTCATTTACATACCTAATGAACCACCATTTCTGCAGAAGAGGCTGTCTACACTGCCCCTTCTTGCGCAAAAAAAACCCTCTTGAGCAATGCCGTTATTCCTGAAAATAACTGGCGTAACGGCATTGCGCAAGAGGGTTTTTCTTGCGCAAGAAGGGGCAGTGTAGATAGCTCCTTCTGGCGCAAGAGCCTCTTCTACAAAAATGGCGGTTCATTAGGTATGCAAAAGAGGCTCGGCGATATTCCACGCTTAGCTTCATTTGCATACTTCTGACGCAAGACACCGTGAGTGTAGGCATAACCTCAGGGTGCATCTACACTGCAGGGCTTAGCTCAATTTGTGTAGATTATTTTGAGTTATGTCAGTTGTATAGCTTATTTTGAAATTGGGAGCATCTACACAGTACTTATTTTGAAATAGAGCACTCTTCCTCTGACTTCCCTTACTCCTCATGCAATGAGGGTTACAGGAGTCAGAGTAAGAAGTCCTCCAGCTTGACAGTATTTGGACATTATTTTGAAATAACTGCTTGCTGTGTAGATGCAGACTAAGTTATTTCGAAATAATGTTGCTGTGTAGACGTACCCTCATGAAAGTAGGATGTGTCTTTTACACAGGGATGCTTGGGGTAACAATTTAATAAAGAATACTCAAGGTATGATCTTTCAGTGAGAGGGTAAGAATAAATAATAGGATTTGGAGGAACCAGCAGGTCAGGTCTTAGACCCAGCAAACATACTGCCAATCATGGCAAGGCTACTTTTCCAATAGGACAAAGGGCCCACCCTTCAGCTCCTGCTCATTTACCTTTTCCCAGCAATACCTGTCTGGGTTTGTCAACACGAAGGATGAGTTTCACAAAGGAACTCAGGTACCTAAATCCCCATTGTAGGCACCACTATGATGCACACAACTCCAGCTGGGCTGCTGCTGCACCCTGGTCTGATGCAAGAACTCTTTTGTGGAAGAGTCCTTGTGCAAAAACTCTTCCAGAAGAGAGCGTCTACACTGGTATGTGTGTTTGCACAAGAGATGTGCTTTTGCACAAGAGCATCCATGCCAGTGTAGATGCTCTCTTGTGCAAGAAACCTCTGATGGCCATTTTAACCATAGGGCTTTCTTGTGCAAGAAATTCATATTGCCTGTCTACACTGGCCTCTTGCACAAGAAGTTGCGCAAGAGGGCTTATTCCTGAGCGGGAGCATCAGAGTTCTTGCGCAAGCAGCATTGATTTCATACATTAGAACATTAGTGTACTTGCACAAGAACTTGTGGCCACTGTAGACAGGTAGCAAGATTTTGCACAAAAGCACTTGCTTTTGCACAAAATCATGCCAGTCTAGACGCAGCCTATGTGTTCCTGGCAGTTGTGAGTGCTGGCCACAGGGGCGGGGGAGAGAAAGAGGTGCCACTGGCCAACCACTGAGGACTGGCTGCCCCAAACCCCACCCCTTCCACCCAAGGCCCCACCCTTTCTGGCCTTACGAGGCTATTGGCTCCGCTGCCCCAGAGTCAAGTCCCCTTCCCCTTATTGGATGATGCTTTTAACATGCAGTGAATTGGTTGAGTTACAGCCTTGACTTCCCATTGCTTTATGGATTCTTTATCAATTGCTATTGCACACTAGCCCAAAAGTGCCCCCACAAGCATTTGCACACATTCATCTAAATCTATATATTTTAGAAATGTGCATCTGTCTGACTGTGTCTGTTCAAGAACTCCTCCTGAACAGTAAGATTTGGTATGCAGCTTCCTCTTATCCTAACAAAGCAAGGTCAGGGTTTGGTTGTGCCAAAAATGGGAAGGGCTGGGAATGGGATTGTTTTCCATAACATGGAAAGGGAGGGGCACAGAGAGGAGGGATCTGATACTGAGAGTAACCTCTGAGGGTAGCTGCAGCACCAAGGTTACGTCTACACTGCAGACTTTCTTGCGCAAAAACTTGCAGAGCATCTACACGGTGGCTACGTCTACACTGGCCCTTTTCGGAAGGGTTTAAATATCCCCCACGGATTTAAATAAACATGTCCACCGCTTTTTTTCCGGCTTGGGGAAAAGCCGGAAAAAAAGCATCTAGACTGGCCCGATCCTCCGGAATAAAGCCCTATTCCGGAGGATCTCTTATTGGAATGTGGACGCACTCTTGTAGAAGATCTTTTGCAGAAGAACTCTTGTGCAAAACAGTTCTTGCACAAGAAGCCTGCAGTGTAAACGTAGCCCAAAAGAGAGGCTAGCAGCGCTGGTGTTCCACCATCTTGCCTGCCACTTTGAAGTAGGAATAAGAGATCCTTCGGAATAGGGCCAGTCTAGACGCTTTTTTTCCGGCTTTTCCCCAAGCCAGAAAAAAAGCGGCGGACATGTTTATTTAAATCCGCGGGGGATATTTAAATCCCCCACGGATTTCCCTATTCCCACTTTCAAAATTAGCATGCCCCTTCCGAAAAAGGGGCCAGTGTAGATGTAGCCGGCATGCGCATTCTTGCGCAAGTAAATGTATAGTACATCATCAGAAAACAGGGCTTCTTCTGGACGAGTTATTCCTCTCCCCATGAGGAATAAGCCCCCTTGCGCAAGAGCTCTTCCACAAGAAGGCAGTGTAGACAGGCAACATGAATTTCTTGCACAATAAACCCCTATGGCTAAAATGGCCATCAGAGCTTTCTTGCACTGCCATGGACGCTCTGCGCAAAAGCACATCTCTTGCGCAAAAGCACATGGAATGTGGACGCACTCTTGTGGAAGATCTTTTGCAGAAGCACTCTTGTGCAAAACAGTTCTTGCACAAGAAGCCTGCAGTGTAGACGTAGCCCAAAAGAGTGGCTAGCAGCGCTGGTGTTCCATCATCTTGCCTGCCACATATATAGCCCCACATCCCAAATATTTCCACCCCTTGGCCATTGGCTGTTGCACTTGGGGGAGGGGGGCCTGGAGGCTAGGAGACGTAGGGGGGAGAGACATGAGACTTGGGACCCCGTGCCCTGAGCCCCTTCTCACCCCACAACCCTAGTTCACACACCTCTAGCTTCCTGCCCTGTCCCACCTACCTTCAAGGCCCTCCCCAGACTCCTGCACCCACCACATTACCAGCTCCCTACCCTGAAGGACCTGGGCAATGCCAGGTAAGTTTTCCTAGTGTTTCTGAACCAATTGAGTTAAATTAATTCAATTTTCCTACGTAAATGAGGCCTTGTTTATTGAATCCACTAGACCAAAAGGCACATGTCCCATGGCACATATCTGGGACTGAAATAATTGAATGAGCTCCCTTCTCAAAGTAAGAAGTGTGAATTACTGTGGATAAGAGGGGCATAAGCATCACACAACTTATTTGCCAGGAGACACACATGTAAATGGTCTAGCGCATAGAGCACGTGATTTGGCAGCGGGACACCTAGGATATTTTTTGTTTAGTCACTGCAAACAATGGACTCAACCCTGTATAAGCTGTTTGGGTAGAATGTTTTGTACGTGCAGAGTATTGTTACATAAATCCACTATGCAGCACTGATGCTAAAACAGAAAAACTGAAAAGAGGCCACTTACCAACAATCAATCTGCCAGAGAGATTTAATTCACTGAACTGGCCCACAATGAAATGAAGAGCTTTTCTACACAAGGATTTGCTCATTAATTTTGAAAGTGAGTTTAGCCAAGAACAAGGCACTCTTGTTGTGGAATGAGTGTGCCCACGTGGCATTATCTAGAAATGGCTATTGTTAAGCTCACACTCTCCTAATTAACATTAGCTTTCAAGCACAGACAGTCCTAAAACAAAATGATTTAAGAGGAGAAAGTTTTGGCTCTCTTTGGGGACCTAACCCATGAAAGCTATAGACTATTTACATGCTCAAAACCCTCCTAATATAGGCACATCTCCATAGCTGACACTGGGAATTGTGTGCAAATTAGGCATGCAACAAGATTTTTACACTTGTCCACTCTTTTCCCCAAATTACTGATGGGAAATAATCACCTTTTCCAATAAATATCTCTACCTCAACTGCAGCCAGGAAACAACTCAAGATCTGGCAGCACAAACATGCTCCTCCCAAGTAACTGAAAAGGCAGCTTGGAGAACTCTGAAAATAATGAAAAAGACGACGCAGGCCGATCTAGTTCCAAGCACCAAACTCCAGTAAATGGGGAGTAATCTCATTCCTTCAGAGCTATGCAGAGAAGGCCTAAGGCATGTGTATTGGCAAATCAATTGGAAATGCTTCCCCAGTGACCAGAGGCGCCCTTATTCCTCAGCAACCCCTACTTGGATAATTTGTACAACTGGCCTGAAACAAATACAGAATTTGTGTGTGTGGCAACTCAAGGCCCAATTAGCCAAAGAAATGGGTCTTGAGAGATCAAATCAGTTTGTGGCAGTCGGTGGTATTTTATTTAGCATGCTCAAATCCTGTGGGCAATTTTTTCTTTCCCTCAATACCACTTTCTTCATGAATTCATGCCTTTCCCTTCCTTGACCCATAGCTATATTTTGTGATGTCCCTGAAGACGGTGAGTATTTTGCAGAAACAGTTTTGGGAAGAGTCTGATCTGTTTGCTATATTTAACCTAGTGAAAGAATGAGAGGGAACTGGGGCTATATATACACACTACAGAGTTTTTGTAGAAAAACAGTCTTTTTCTGTAAAAACTTGTGGAGCGTCCACACCTCAAGCACATTTTTGTGCAAGAGAATCGAAAGAACAGAGAGTATTGGTATTCCTCTATGAGGAAGAATGCCTTTTTGCTAAAGTTATTTTGCCAAAAGGCATGTGTAGATGGGGAAGAAGATTTTTTTGTGCAGAAAGAGGAAAAAGGAAAAAGCACAGGTGTCCTGCTGGTCATAGCAATCAGGGATGACTTTTGAGACAGCATCCATGCAGTCACTTTTGCACGCTCAAGAAGTTTTTGCAGAAGATCTCTTCCGACAAAAGCTTCTTGCACATAAAGCCTGCAGTCTAGATGTAGCCTGAGAGTCAGAGAATAACAAAGTAGCAGATAAGAGACATGCTACAGTTCTGCATAGCTGCTAAACAACTCTAGTGCCAGCTAATCTATGATGAAGAGCAGATTTCACCTTTCTCTAAATTGGAAAATAATACAAACATCAGAAGAATGGGGTCTTCTTGTAGAGGAAGAAGCAAAAGTTCAGCCACTTCTGGCAAAGGACACTGCAAGGGACTTGCTCTCTTGCTTGTTTATGGTGTAGGAAGAAGCAGCACAAATGTGTTCTTATATTTTACTTCAATATCAAGAGTAAGTATCAAGTCTAGTCTCACTATACAGCCTCTTAGGGTATATCTAAACTACATGCCTCTGTCTTCAGAGGCATATAAATTAGACTACCCCATACAGTCAATGAAGCCGGGATATAAATATCCCCGGCTTCATTAAAATAAAAAGGGCCGCCACGCTGTGCCGGCTCAGCTGATTGTCAGCACAGCGCACGAGTTAAGACGCACATCGTTCGACAAGGGAAGCCTTTGTCAACCACTCCCTTATGCCTCGTGAAATGAGGTTTACAGGAGTGGTCGACAGAGGCTTCCCTTGTCATCCGATGTGCGTCTCAACTTGCGCACTGTGCTGACAATCAGCTGAGCCGGCACAGCATGGCGGCCATTTTTATTTTAATGAAGCTGGGGATATTTAAATCCCGGCTTCATTGACTATATCAGGTAGTCTAATTTACATGAGTATGTAGTCTAGACACACCCTAAGAGGTCTCAAGTGCAGTGTGAGAATTTTCACCCCTCATAAAGGAGGCTTTTCTCAAGCATTTCAAACAGTTTTCCCCCCCTACTGTTTAGGCTGGGGAGAGTTTTTTGTTTGACCGTAACATGATAAGAAGTCAATTCTTCTGAATATTCATGATATCACAGCCCTACTAGTTCTCGTGTCCTCCATGGCCAGCTAGATATTTCTAATGTATAAAATAAGCAGAAAAGTCATGTTCAGGCCTTTTAAGTCCACAATGTAATAAAGTAAAAGGACACAAAAGCCCACTTTCTTTCCTCAACATGCCACTAATCTCTTTGGTTTGGAACAGCACCTTTATCCATGGATTTTAAAAGGAACTTATGCATATTTGTTCATAAAAACCTTATTTGTTGTATGCCCATTTTTACAGAAGGTAAAGAGGACAGAGGTGAAGTGACTTGCCCAAGGTTATACAGTGAGCCAATGGGAAACAGGAATAGAACCAGTATCCTATTTCCAGTCTCACTACGGTAGGGGTTCCCAGGAATGAGAAAGCGCCAAGCTCACATTCTGAGTAGTATCCAGAAATCCTTCTGTAGGAATAGACCCCATTAAATCACTGAGACATTTTCAAGAGTACAAGCCTCTGTTTGACTGGGAAAAAATGGAGAATTAACCTGAGTTTGTTTAATGGGAGGCTGACTGCTCCTGGAACAAACAGCCAGGCAGCTTTCCAACCTGCTCAGCCCCTTTAATGAATTATTCACAATACAGAGTTAGAAGTTGTCCATTATTCAATTAGAATGATACAGCTACATAACTAAACTGATTTCCGGACAAATTCTGAGAGCACAAGACAGCCACTCAAATAACTTCTTGGACTCACTTGATGCTTTAGCCTACTATAAATTGTAAAATTCATCTTGAAGCTGCTCTTAGACAAAGGCATGTGATTCTGACAGATTAAATTGAAACTTTGAACATCATCCAAGGACACAAATTAGTGTCTTTAATCTCTTGTACACATTTAGTCTGTAATCTGATTGATATTGGTATTAGACAAGAAGATTCCACTGTAAGTCATGGTCATATGGCTGAAATAAAGTTTATTTTGATAGATGATTAGTCTTTTCATCAATGTACAATATACAGCACTGTCTATGGTTAACCCAACAGCAACTGTGCAATATCCAATTTCCAGGGACTTAGGAGCTGAGAGCAAATGGTCGCTTGTATTTGCCTTCCCGAATAAGCTTCTCTTTATGATCCTGTATTGAGAAGGAAACAAAAACAAATACAAAAAATTACTATCCTATGAAAGAGAAGATATGGTCCATTGCACAGACTGACCTCCAAAGAGAAAGAGCATGCAAGTTCTTAAGCACAAATGCTACAGACAGCTCTGATTAAACAGCACTCTAGAAACATTTGTGAGGACAAAACATCCTGTCATTCACCTGTGTGCACAAGAACCAGAAATGCAATATGTCCAAATGCAGAAGAAGCTGTGTAGCTCCTACCCTCAAAAACAAAATGATGGACAGAGATGGAATAAACCTCTATTAAGGCAAATCTACCCATTTCCATTAGCCAGTATTTTCTATAATAGATATAGTATAATGTATTCTTATAATGTATTCTCAACAGGGGTTTGTCCCGACTAATTTAGAACATCCTAACTTGATGGGGCTTCCACCCCTTTACTTGAGTGCATAACCTAAAGTTTAATATATTTCACAGTCATAAAAAAAGTCATGAGATGTTTCACCTACATTTTCCTTTGTTCACTTTTCACCCCTATTACGTCAACTTGCACCACCTTATTTATTTTGTGTTAGCACCTAAGAATCCCAGTCATGGACTGGGAACCCATTGTCCTAGATGCTATACAGTCACCCTCAGAACAGAAAGACTATAAACTATTTGAAGTTGAGACTATCACCTCCCATCTCGGTGTTTTCATCCTTGCTACTTTTGAGAAAGGGCGTATGATGCTTCATAAAGGAACTGGCCAGTAATATACTGGACCATTTTGTGATGAAGTTGAAGCTTTAACTATCTTCTGTTAGTGTGTGTAGGCGTCAATTATATTCAGCCAATTTCATATTCTAGTTTTCTTGTGCCTGACCAATGGTAAAGCATTTGGGTCGCAGAGGATGTTCATATTCAACCAAAAAATGTTTGAAGTTGCATAATAATCCAGCAACAAGTTCTGTAAATTTTTGCATTTTGGACTCTACCTGCAAGATACTGTCCCTTAAAAAAAGGAAAGGGGGGAGGGGGGAGATTTAAATTTGCACTTGCTCCCACTCACTGATTCAACAGGTCAACCAGGATTTTATTTCTATTTTTAAGATACACAGAAGCTTTTCACATAAATAGCAGCTTTGGTTAAACTTTTGGTGTCACTCTCCCAAAAATCCGAACACATTGGCAGTGTTCTAACAGAAGAATTTCATACTACCAAGTTTTAGGATACAAGAGAAGGATTAAGGTAGCACCTTTTTTAAAGGACCAACAAAGAAATGTTCCCTTTGACAGCACTCTTAGAAGATAGCTTTGCAATAAGACACTAGTGATTTGAGAGTTCTTCCCACACTAGTTTTCTGCCCTCAGGAATAGGTATTTTCCTCACTTCTGTCCTATGTATGCATATGTATTATAACTTTATTAAAGTTGTACATGACTAGTCAATCTTACCCTCTCAGTTTTGAAGACGTACCCCCAGAAGATAAGGGGTCCTAACCCAAACAATGCACCCAACAGGGAATTCTTGGGAGTGGGCCGGAAATTGGGGTAAATGTTGTATGATTTAGCATATGTCCAACGGTGCATAGCAGGGTCCTCCTAAATGAAGAGCAATGCACAGTGAACAATGTTAAGATGCAGCACTATAAACATTAGCAAGCTTAGGATTAGACATCTGAGTGGTCAAAAAAAAAAAAAAAAAAAAAAAAAAAAGATAGATATGTAGTCAATTGACCGGTCAAACAATGTCAGAAATGTTCAAGTATTTTAAAGCACTAGTTTATTAAAAGGAGTAACAAAAAGGAGTCAGACCTTATGGTCTCCAATAGGATTGCCATTAGTTAGATACTTATGCCTAATTACAACACATATATTAAATTAAGCTACTGTAACTCAGAACAATGTCAAATTAAATGAATTTCTAAAAACATGTAAAATAATTACCTTTTTAGCAATTGTAGACTAGCATTTAAATGTGAATGCTAATAGGCTGACCAGTTGTGCTGGATAGGAGGAGTGCTGTCCTTTTCTGGGCATTTGGTGTCTAAAGGATTAAATTCAGGTAGGTAGGTGGAGTTGGCAGGGAGCCAGCAGAGCCAATGGGAGAAGGTACTGAGATTTTAAATGAAAGAAACCCTGTTTGCTTTATTTTCCCTTTGTGTGAGTTTAAGACAGGAGCTGAGGGAACAAGATGAATGTAACCAGGCAGGACTACCATGCCTACAAAGAATACTGGGCATGGAAATGGACTGGACCTTGAAGCAGATAAGTGAGTAGAAAGGGAATGTCTATTTAGATGTGATCATGTAATTTTCTTTGTTTTATTGTTTGTTTAAACTTCTCTGTGCTAATTCCATGTCTCATTCTATACACTGTAACTTTAAGATGATTCCCAGGGATGAAATACTCTGTTTTAATTTGTTCTTTTCTCAGTGGCTTTAAAACACCTACCAACCAAGTATGCTTTACCAAGTATATTTTTGTTTTATTAATAAAATCACTTCTTTAAGGCTATGATTTGATTCTTGTGTCCTGGAAGGTAATAGGAGGTCTGTATATGAATGCTTAAGACTGACAGCTCAGCTATCAGAAATTACAGGGTTGAGTTTTTTTTTTTTCAAACTCTTGTGGTAAGAGAGATTGGGGTACCCCTCTGGAAGAAATTCCAAGTGCTTTCTTCCTGGGTTCACGAAGAAAGTTTTGTTTTTTGAATTTGGCAGCCTCTCCCCCAAAGTCAGGATATCAGCGACCGGAGGGAGTTTTCTGAAGCAGAAGCCTTGAGAGGCAAAGTATAAATTTAGGTCTCTTGCAGGTTTCTGCATTCAGAAACGTTCAGAAACTGGTCTTGGAATCAGATAGCATGGCACTACCATTTTCTGAATTCTGCAGGGATTGAGCCACTTTTCAAACAGTGAAATATTTTGAGTTTTGCTTTCAAAAGACTGGCATCTTGAAACTTAGTATGGATTGCTGAAACCCAGTTACCCCTCTTTCAATGGCAGTTGATTGAAGAACCTTCTTGCTTCCATGAAGATCTTCGAAATATTTAATAGAAGCTAATGAATATGGCAAAACTTACTCTGTTTGGATAAGAGATGTGAAAGACTAGTCGCTTTCCCTCCCATCCCTTGCTGCCTCTATCAGAGAGAGTCAGCAAGGGGAGGAAGAAGAGGAGGATATTTCAAAGCAGCAGTGCCAAACAGAGCTCGGGGCCAGCTGCTCCGTGCGGCATTGCTGCTTTGAATGCTGTGTGGAGCCCAGGATCAGCTGGCGAGTCCCCACTTGACCACGGGCACCATGTGGTGCTGCCGCTTTGAATACTGCTAACCCAGGATCAGCTAGGGACTCTCCAGCTAAGCCAGAGCTCAGTGCAGCACTGCCGCTTTGAAACACCACCATGGCATTTTAAAGCAGCAGCACCACAGGTGCTTTCATCTTTGAAGTGTTATTACACTTCAAAGGCAGAGGCACCCTATCAACCAATCGAATAGTTGATGCAAAAATGCATCGAATGTCAACCAATCGAATAGTTGATGCAAAATTCATCGAATGTTCAGTTACCCGATACTTAACATCCTTAGTGTGGATGAAATTGAATAATGTATCAAATCATGCTGAAAAAAATATGGTTGCTGTTTGTTTGCACCCTTGTTTTGTTTTGGTTTTTTTTTAAACTTGGCAATGCTTATAACATTTGATAGGTGATATAGTTGTCAGATATTCAGTATCACCAACAAAAAGCTGTGCTGTATAGGCAGCACATCCAGAATCACCTCATCACTGCCTGCGCTCGAAGGCAGTGCATACCACACAGAGATGCCTGGCCCTTCTGTCTAGAAGATGGATAGATGGCAGCCAGTACTGGGAGTGGCAAGATCCAGGGCAGGCAGGGAGCCACCACAAGTAAGCGCCCACACTCTGAACCCTCTTCCCCCAAGTTGGAATCCTTTCCATACCCTTATTTCCTTTCAGACCCCAAACCTCTGCTCTAGCCTTTAGCCCATTCCTGTACTCCAAATACTTTGAACCCAGCCTGGAGCCTACCCAAAAACCCCTCATCCCCACCCCAGAGCCCACACCCCCTTCCCAGAGGCCTCAGCCTCTCCTGAACACCAATTCCCAGCCCTCTTCCCCCTGAACCTGTGAACCCCATCCCATGTGGGGCTGGAGCTGTGAGCACCAGGCTCACCCCAATGCAGAAGGAAGCACCAACCCTCCACTCTCCTCTGCAGAGTTGCATGTGATCTGTGATGGATTTTGTTCAGAGGCCCCTGCCCAAGGGGACTGACATCCAGTGGACTGTTGTATAACTTGTGTTCTAGCTTCTGCTCAGACACCAGCTCTATAGCACTGAATTAATTACTCATTCCCTCTACATACATTTTGTCCACTTCACTACTGTATAGAGCAGTACAGAGATTGGGCCAAGGTTACGCAAAGGACCAATGACTTTGCTAGGAAGAGAATACAAGTCTGACTACTCCCTGTCCCACACCTTAGCTTCTTGACCATTCTGCTTCTAAATATAAACACAAGAATGAGGTTTAAGAGGCAGTCTCCAAGTCTCCTTGTGTTCAAAAGAAGTGGAGGAAATACATGAACTTGGGACAACCCTTTTCTGTGCCTGGACAGATTTAGGCTCGGCTTAAAACAGATCAATTCACGGATGGACTCTTGTATCACTTTGACAGATGAGTGTTCAGCTAGTGCTGATTTTTGTTCTGGTTTTATTTTATTTTATGGCTTCTCAAGCAGAAGCAAGTCTAATCCTGAATTTACAAATACAGTTGCATATTTTACAAGTGTAATGATTGGCAGGAGGACGTGTTAGAGGCATTAACCTTATGTTGAGCTCTCTTCTGCTGTAGAGACCATACACACTACTATATAGTAGGATGTAATAGCGTAGTTTAACAACTGATTAACTGATAAGCAAAAGTTTATAGGTTAATGCTATAAACTACATGCATCCTCCCTCCCCCGCCAGAAATTTCTTTTAGCAGGCTGGCCAGTGCCAGGTCCGGGACCTACCCTCAGTGTGGCTCTGCATTTAAAGTGTATTAGGAGCCTGGCAGGCAGGCAATCCGGCTCAGTTCCAACTTACGCTGGGTATGGGAACTCAGTACCCCACTGCCACCACAAGCAGGACCTGCTGCCGCTTTGTGCTGCACAGGGCAACAGGCAGTTGGGTCCACATGGGAAGCTTTTTTTTTTTTTTTTTTTTTTTTAAACTGGCTCCCCTCATGGACCAGCTCGTCTGGCACCTCACATTGCTGCCAATGATACATAGTTCTGCATCCTGTCTTCCCACAACACTGCACTGTGGGATGCTTACCCACATTGCTTTGCTCTGTCAACAGGGTGCTAACAATGTGGCCATGAAATGTTGACAATGGGAGGGAAAAAAATGTTTGACCAGTTTTGGCAAATTTTGTGAGAACACTTTTGTCGCTAAACATTCCTAATGTAGACATTGCCTTAGTAACCTCATCTAACGATGGGACAGCTCCTCCAAGCATAGCAAGCTGAGAGAATGAGTCAACTGCTTTGTTGAACAGAGGTTCATCTGAAGAAGTGGGCTGTACTCATGATACCATCTACGTATTTTTGTTAGTCTTAAGGTGCTACTAGACTATTCGTAGTTTTTAAAGTTTGGAAAGAATAGATTGATAGTTCAGGAGGCTATCAAAAAACTACAATGGGGTTGGCATGGTTGCACCTAGTCTGCTTTTAATAATACATCTGTAAGAGCTTAAGGCTTGCTCCTCTACTCACAGGTGTGCTCCTGTTCAACTAACAGGTTGTGAGTTGCACTGATTTAGCTAAAACATAAAAAACGAAGAGTCTGGCAGCACCTTGAAGACTAACAAAACATGTGGGTGGCATCATGAGTTTTTGTGGGCGTAACCCACTTCTTCAGATGAATGGAGTATTAGAAGTCCAGACCCAAGAACCTAGTTTAGCAGCTCGTTTGCTAAACTGACCCAGCCTCACCCCTTTCCCAGAAGGGCCCCTCTTCTGTGCTTAGGCCTATTCAAGCCGGGACGGGGCAGGAGGACGTGCGGGTCACCACGCAGCCGGGCGTAACCGCGAGCGGCCCGAGAGCGCCGACAGGCCAACAGGACACCAGGGAGGGCGGCGGGAGCCCAAGAACCTAGTTTAGCAGCTCGTTTGCTAAACTGACCCAGCCTCACCCCTTTCCCAGAAGGGCCCCTCTTCTGTGCTTAGGCCTATTCAAGCCGGGACGGGGCAGGAGGACGTGCGGGTCACCACGCAGCCGGGCGTAACCGCGAGCGGCCCGAGAGCGCCGACAGGCCAACAGGACACCAGGGAGGGCGGCGGGAGCCGCGACCCCGCTTGACAGACGCGGCGGCTGAAGGGAGCTCCCCGCCCCGCAGGCTGGCGCAGGGCAGGGGCGTGGGTGCCGCGGGGCACCATAACCCAGGGCCCGGGGTGTCCCGCCGCTGGCTCCGGCAGAGTCAAGCGGGAGCGAGC